TATATATATGTATTATGCTGCACTGATGTAGCTCAAGACATCAGGCAGTGTCTTCTCCAAAATTACTCACAATACATCAACCCAGTGCCTTGACTGTGAACACTTCTGTACAACCTCTGGGTATGTTCAAACTTAGAAGTATCATATGCTTTCAAAGTAGTTCAAGTATACAAATGACATCTTCTGATATAGTTCAGATCTAGACATACTAAGTCTAATTCTGGGACTTACAACTGGAGTAAATTTGACTCTCTGGCATTATTTCCCTCTGTGCTATTGTATTACATAGTGTGTTGAAGGGGGAACTGTCCTGCATTCTAAAAATAGGGGCTAAAGGAACAAAGATTTACTACGTTTTATTTCAGTGTGTTGGTTTACCAGCTGTTATAATGTAGAATGGTCTCTTTTAGACTCTTTTTGGAGAACGGTGGTCATGTGTTTCTAGGTCATACAATCACATTGAAGTCTGATAATGGCATTGAGCAGCTTTCGCTCTCTGAAGACTGCAAAACTGCCATGGTTGGGAAAGGTGAATTGGCTGCAGGATGCACGTGCTGCTTGAAGTGAAAGTAAAGATTCAGTTAAGTGCAAAGCTCTGATATCAAGCACAGGCCTGAGAATCCTTGGAACTGAAAGGCCAGACCCTGCAACCGTTAAAGCCAACTGGCCACTTCCATCGCTCAGCACCCAGGCTCTAACTAGAGTGCAGTGTGGTGTCCAATTGTTTTTCAGAGACTGGCGTGGATTTAAAGGGCAGTTTCTTAGGGGAACCTGTTGCCATTGTAAGCCTCTCTTGTTCTACATATATTCTTAACCTATGCCAGGATGTGTGAGTGCCTTCATTAGACCTTACAATACTTTCCCAAGGATTCTCTTCCTGCAGCACTTGAGCAGGTCAGGCAGGGAGCAGAAAGCTGCAAAGCAGATTGGGCAGGGAAAGGGGATTGGAGTGGCAGTTGGGCACAGGGCTTAATTTGTGGCATGCCTGCCAAAAAGGTTGGCCCTTACTGGCATATGCACTTGAGGAGGCACAGTCCCCCTGCAGCTAAAACGTATGTTGTGTGTTGCAGTTGGTCTCATATTAGTTTACATTCTCAGACTTCGGGCACTATGCAGGCCTGTGCTCATACTGGTAGGCCATGCTGTCAGCAGAGGGCCTAGGCAGAGGTTTTCTCACAGCCTGTTTCAGGTAACTTCTGCTTCTCAGTGATAGAAATGATTGTCAGTTGATCCTTCACTACTTCAGTGGTGATGATCAGCTTTTGAACTGCTGTAAATGAGGCCAATCAACATTACTTTCGTTTCATTACTTCAAGAGCTTACTCATGAATTTCCTCTTATCCTACTTCCCCTTTGGTCTGGTATTAGCCACACTTGCTACGTGCTGCTATACCTAGTTCTCCTCCATTTGAGCTGTTTGTTCTCTGCTAGATTTAATAATCAATTGGTATATATGCCTCACTTCATGTAGCTTAAAGAAATCCACCTTTCTGTCCATCATTCTCAATACCCTGTTGCTGTTCTCCAGCACAGAGGGCAAGTATTTATGAAACTGTACTATACACTGATGAGATGTCATCTGGAATACCATATACTGTTCTGGTCACCCATGGTCAAGAAAAATGAATTGAAACTGGAAGAGGGAAAGAAAAGGGCTATGTGAAAGGGCTCGTGTCTATACGTAAAGTAGAGGGGTGAATACCAGCTAGAGGAAAGAACCGTTTCAGCCAAAGAACTGTCATATAAGCATTTCATATAATTTAAAGCAAAGCCACTCTATTTTCAAACAGAAGATGAGCTGAGACTTCCCCATTTTTGACTGAAGATGCATCTGGCATGAGATTAAAACAAACAATTCCTGCTCTCACTTGTTTTCTGATCCTAAAGGGTGCACGTACATGTGATGGGGATTTAGTCATTAGGGTTGCATTCTAAATTGAAATGCTGGGGTTTTATTTTTGCATCGCTGTTGTGGTGAGGGACCCGATCTTTTTTTTTTTGTTTTCCAGTGAGGGGCCCAATCCTTCTCTTTTTTTTCCCCCTAGCAGAGCCTGCCCATGGCTAGGGGTGAGCTGCCAGCAGACCAAGCCGCCCCTGAGCTATGGGGGGCCCCAGTCCTTCCCTCCATGGTGGTGGTGCCCCCTGGGGCCGCCCGGGCAGGCTGCTAGTGGGCCAGGTGCTGCCCCAGTTTGAAGGCAGCACCCAGCACAATCCAACTCTTCCCTGACCCCAAGCTAAGGCAGCACCTGGCCTGCTATCAGTCCACCCAGGCAGGTCTGGGAGGCACCACCGCTGTGGAGAGAAGGACCAGGGTCCCCTGCAGCTCAGGGTCTGCTTGACCCACTGGCAGCTCACCCCTTGACTGTGGGAGAGGGGAGCAAATTCTGCCCCCCTCCCCCCCCCAAAAAAGGACTGGCCCCTTGCTGTTTCTCCTTTTTTTCTGTGGAGTCTGCCTGCCTCTCCCATGGCTGAGGGGTGAGCTGAATATTAGCTACAATGCATCACTGAAAACTAAACTACATTGGGATGTAGTTTAGTTTGCAACAATGCAAACTCATTAAAAAACCCCAAAACTCTTGCACATGTACAGTGTGAAGCCATTAGGTCACACAAAGTGACATTTTTTCATGTGTACATGGTAATGGTGCCAGGTATACAAGTGCCCAAATTCTCTTTCATTGGATTGGTGAATAAAGGGGAAGTTGGGATTGCTGAATCTCACTAAACTGTGTGTATCTCTGTGTAGCAAGGACAGTGGAGTAGGTACCTCCTACTCCAGGAAATTTATAATGGGGAAGCATTTGTGGACTCCCAGGGGAGTAGACAACTCAGGGCTGCCTGCCCCCACACCTCCGCATGCTGATCCCTGACCGGCTGGGGGTCAGGGTGCCTCAGCACAGGCGCTGCCTGCTGGGGCATTGAGGGAAGTCTCTTTGAGGATCTACTCAAATTATTCCCTTAGAGGAAGGTGGCCCCCAAGTAAAACAGTCATGCACAGGCACTAGCCCTATGCATAGTGCCCATACTACACTAGGGGACCACAGGGGATGGGGAAGTCCCTCAGTCCTGGCACCATTCAACTCCCAGCTCCCCCCAGTAGCTGGGAGCTGAGCATTATGAGGATGCGGTAGCTGTCTACCCTGCTGCTTTGTTCCCCCAGCTGCCCACTTGCTGTTCCAGCTGCCCCCCCCAAGCAGTAGCAGAGAATGAGCAGGAGGCTGGAGACAGCAGGGGAAGTCTCCAGCTTATCTCCAGGGGCTTGTCTCCAGCCTTCTGCTCCTCTCCAGCCCCCTGCTCCTTCTTCTGCATGTCTCCAGCCTCCGGAGGCCAGAGACAAGCAGGGGACAGGGCAAGAGGCCGGAGACGAGCACGGGACAGAGAAGGAGGCCGGAGACGAGCACGGGACAGAGAAGGAGGCCGGAGACGAGCACGGGACAGAGAAGGAGGCCGGAGACGAGCACGGGACAGAGAAGGAGGCCAGAGACGAGCACGGGACAGAGAAGGAGGCCAGAGACGAGCACGGGACAGAGAAGGAGGCCAGAGACGAGCACGGGACAGAGAAGGAGGCCAGAGACGAGCACGGGACAGAGAAGGAGGCCAGAGACGAGCACGGGACAGAGAAGGAGGCCAGAGACGAGCACGGGACAGAGAAGGAGGCCAGAGACGAGCACGGGACAGAGAAGGAGGCCAGAGACGAGCACGGGACAGAGAAGGAGGCCAGAGACGAGCACGGGACAGAGAAGGAGGCCAGAGACGAGCACGGGACAGAGAAGGAGGCCAGAGACGAGCACGGGACAGAGAAGGAGGCCAGAGACGAGCACGGGACAGAGAAGGAGGCCAGAGACGAGCACGGGACAGAGAAGGAGGCCAGAGACGAGCACGGGACAGAGAAGGAGGCCAGAGACGAGCACGGGACAGAGAAGGAGGCCAGAGACGAGCACGGGACAGAGAAGGAGGCCAGAGACGAGCACGGGACAGAGAAGGAGGCCAGAGACGAGCACGGGACAGAGAAGGAGGCCAGAGACGAGCACGGGACAGAGAAGGAGGCCAGAGACGAGCACGGGACAGAGAAGGAGGCCAGAGACGAGCACGGGACAGAGAAGGAGGCCAGAGACGAGCACGGGACAGAGAAGGAGGCCAGAGACGAGCACGGGACAGAGAAGGAGGCCAGAGACGAGCACGGGACAGAGAAGGAGGCCAGAGACAAGCACGGGACAGAGAAGGAGGCCAGAGACAAGCACGGGACATTCTCCTGCTTGTCTCCAGCCTTCTGCTCATCTTCAGCCTCCTGCTCCTTCTCTGCTACTGCTGGTGAGTGTGGGGGGCTGGGAGAGCAAGTGGGGAGCTGTGGGAATGAACGGGGGACAAGGGAAATGAACGGGAGATGGGGCAGGGGGCACAAATGGGGAGCGGGGGCCAGGCAGGGCCTCCCCCAAGGTTCCTTCCCCCTCCTCTAATCCCCTACTTACCTGGCACAAAGCCAATCCAGTGCCGGGGAAAGGGCCAACCACAGAGAGGCTCTGGCAGGCTACCAGAGCATCTCTATGGAGGACCAAGCCTCCAGGTGCCTCAGGACACAGTCCTGGTTTTTTCCCCCCGGGGTATTATTTGACCCCCCTGGTTATCCAGGGGTCTAATTTTGCCCCCACACTGTAAATTTGCAGCGTGGGGAACATTTTTTTGTTCCCGCGCATGCCTCTTGCAGCATCTCAAAAGGCTTGAGATACTTCAAGACGCACATGCACGCTCGTCTGGACACACCCATTGGGAGCATGTGTAGATGCGTTCTCAAGTAATTTTACTGCACAGTAAGCCTACTTTGAATTAATAGTACATGTAGATGCACCCACTGTGAGGTAACTAAAACCATCACGATCCTGTGTACCATATTTGTTGCAAACAATGCACACCTTTCCCCCCAAATCAACCCCCCAAAATTGGGTGGGAGGCTGTATTAGGTGGGTAAGCTATTTTCTTTGCTGGAAAAGAAGCACACCTGGAGACACTGTTCAGGTCATACATCTGCAAAGATAGCTGCCACTTGTGTCTGGCTCAGAAAGCTGAAGAATTGTGCATTAACCCTCTCACCCTGTAGCTATTGGTTGAGTGTTGCAGCTAGTGCCTGAAGCACCAAGTGAGCTGCTGGCAGTATTTTGATGAGGGTCATGTTACAGAAGCAACATTTCAGTCAGAGGAACTTATACAAAAAATATATTTAAAAACTACTTCTTGGACATACTGTGTTCCCAGGAGGACTTACTTTATGTCACACAGTTGGCCATGATTCCAGAAAAAAATCTTTTTTTCTACAGTCTGCCTTCCAAAGACAAGGTGCTTGTTTTAATTGGGAGCCTGTTGTATGCGACAAAATATGGTATAGTATAATCCTGGCAAAAACTCACAGCACTGCTTAACTTTAGTACTGTGTAATAAATAAATAAATAATAACAACAATAGTTTACATTTATACAGCACTTTTAATCCTATTATCTTGAAGCAAACATTTATTAATCCTCACAACATGCCTATGAGGTAGGTAATTATTATTATCCCCATTTTAGACATGATAAACCCGAGTAACAAAGAGGTTGCAGTCCTCTTGAATAAAAACAATCACACAATTAGTGGCAGGACCAAGAGTAGAGCCCAGCCATCCAGACTCCTAGCATAAGTGCTATCTGCCTACACCACAATTCTGGTTAGAGGCCTAGATAAGAATTTCAAGAATCCCCTAGAAATCCCCAGAGGAGAGAGTAGGGGCCAGTGGAGATGGCATTGTTCCTTCTCCTGTCCTGCAGGGCTTGTGGTACAAATATGATACTGGGCTAGCAACTTCCCTTACTTCCACTCTGTATGGAGAATAAGGAGGGCCCAGAAGTGATACGTGAAGGATATGAGTGACACAGCTGGCACAAAGGCAGAGGGGTTTTATAGGGATAGTTCTAGCTACTTTGGGGCACCTTGGGAGCTAACAAGATCTAGGAAATGTGTGAGTTTTCATGGTTAGAAACATGACTGTTCTACATGGGGGCCACCTTCCTCTAAGGGAATAATTTGAGTAGATCCTCAAAGAGACTTCCCCCAAAGCCCCAGCAGGCAGCGCCTGTGCTGAGGCACCCTGAACTCCAGCCAGTCAGGGAGCAGTATGCGGAGGTGGGGGAGCAGGCAGTTCTGAGTTGCCTACTCCCCTCTCTTCATGTACCCCAGTGCAGGGACTCTGCAGTGCAGCCCCCATGCTGAGGCATGTGGAGACACGAGCAGCAAGCCCAGGGCTGCCTGCTCCCCTGTCTCAAGGCACACTGCATCCCAGCCAGCCAGGGAGTGAAGCGGCTGGCTGGGGTGTAGTGTGCCTCGGTGTAGGGGGGGGTCCTGCAGTGCATGGGGACAGAGGGGTAGGTAGCCCGTCTCTGTATTTGTCCTAGTGAATGCTATTTTCATGTGCTTTGTGCTGTTTTTTCCCTTTTTTTTTTTTCCCTATTGGGAAGTCCTGGTAGCAAATTTTGCCCCTGTGCTACAAATTAGCAGCACCACACACGGTGTAATGTGCAATGCCTGTGGTTTGTGGCCTGCATGTGTGGACTATGTCATTTTAGTTAGTATTAATATCTCATTTACCAATGATCCATGTGGACACAGACCTTACCACTGTGGATTTCTGTGCTGAGGTTTACATGGAGATCTGGATGTAAATTGTGACTTTCCACAGCTTCCTTGCTATCTTTACATTTAGCCTGTCCTTACTAAGTTTACAAAAGGAATCCCTTCTGTCAATGTATTTTCAACACCAAGTAAGTTGAAACTACAATATTAGTATTGGTGATCTGGAGTTGGTTAAGACTACCTATATCTAGATCTATAAAACTTAGATATGAAAAAGTGAATTATGGAGCAGAATTTGTTTAAAACTATTAATCTGAATGGAAACAAAATGAGGTACTAACATACAATATTTTCTCTTCCAAAGTAATGAGCTGTAAATTTTATTTTACAAAAGACTCATGCCTGATTCTCATTTACACAAAGGTGCCTTTTGCGAATGATATTTACTCCTATTTTAAAAGGCCCATTGAGTAAAAATGGAAATACAAGAAAAGCTAAGGAGAGTTGTATATTCACAGAGAAAGTTAAGAAGGAGGCTAAACAGCATCTCCAGTCTAAACAAGGAAGAGTCTAACTCTTGCTCATGCTAGCTGCACAATCAATGCATATGGATCACTGTGGTCTTGGGTGGTAAACTTGAACCTAACAACTCTGGTTTAAAGATTCTTATGGAAGGTATCCATTTAGAATTACTTTAAACCTTGCACTTTCAGGAACAGAATTCCTGATTTCTGAAGGGAAAAAAACCGTTCCTTTTACTTGTTAGTCTGTGGGTCTAACATGTTCACTTAGCATGACCTCAAGGGAGATGGTCATTGACTTGAATGCCTTCCCTGAGCCATAGCTCTGCAAACCACTGGTTTTGAGGGAAGCTTATGAATTATGTGTAGTGTGTTGCCTGTGTGGGCAGGACATCTCATGGGACTTGTGTCTGGTTACTAGCATTCTGCTTCCCTCGTGGCAAGCTCCACAGTCATGGGAATAGAGCATTGCCTTAAATCTTGGCTGGCAGCATTCCATAGCTTCAGCTGTAATGATAAAAGCAGAGGTACAGACATGTAGAGGTTATGATTTGAGATGCTTCTGGTGGAAATTGTGGGCAATGTTTTAATCCCATTGAAACAGAGAGATGGAGGGCTAATGCATAACATTTTTAAGTAGCATAAATTAGTTTGAAAGAACCAGCTAGAATGCAATTTTAAGTTGTACATAAGAGAGGAAAAGAACAAAACAATCAGATGCTGATCTGGAATAACACTGTATGGGATTCAATGCTCCAGCGACTGCTATGGCTACATATGATTACTGTACAGTGTGATAGGACCTATGCTTTTTGAAGGTCCTTTTGAAAAAGTTATTGGTGAATATGCAAAATATACTTTCTAGAGTTGTGAATGCTTTTCCGTCTGACTTCAGCTTCTCTAGGTAATTCACCCCTGAGGTGAATGCTTGGGTCAAAGTTAAATACAGCTGCTTTGGGATTTTGTGAATATGAAAACAGACTAATTTGGCATATAAGTCATTTTTAGTGCACTAATTTCCTGCTTTACATGCAGAAATAGTCCATAAATGGCACAAAAGACTTCAGCAAACTAACCTAAAACATCCTGTTCAGATATACTGAACAATGAAGTTTTCCTTAAGAACGTATTATAAAGAATAACTTGTTACTTCAGGTTTATACTAGAGCACAGCAAATTCATCAATTCATGGCTTGGTTGACAGTTCATGAGTTGTTTCAGGCCTGTATTTCTCTGGGATAAAAGAACATGAATTCACTTATTCTTTTAACTTTCTAAAGTGCTTTAGGTCTGTAGCTCAAAATATGATTTATTTCCTCATCTTTTTAAATGCTTATGAAAACAATGGATTAACTACAGTGGCCAGGTGTGACACGGGGACATCTTGAGGCTGGTCCAATTGTTGGCTTGCCCACCTGTCTAGGGCAGCCCGCCCACCTGACTCTCCTGCCATGACTTTGTTGGAATCAATAGTTGTTGATAGGTGGGAGACTTCCCATTTATTGTCCGATGCCAAGGGCATAATACACGGCTCTGAACCACTCCTGAACCACATTCCCTGCCTCACAGATGGCATCCAAACAGTTGACTCTCACTCAGCCCTTTCCAGGGCTGAACTCTCCCCTAGGTTGGGCCTCTTTCATGCCCCATAACTGGGTCCCACTCATTCGCACTCCAACATGGGCCACATGCACTCCGCCCTACTTTGTATGGCCCTTCAGGCCCCGCTGCCCCTACTTCATACAGCCCTTCAGGCTTCCTCTCTCATGCTTGGTCCTGGCCCCAAATGGACCTTAAGGCTGCCCAATTAAAGCCCTCCTCTACAACAGGGCATCAGACCTACTGCCCCACACTCTGGGCTGACTCCAGCCCCTGGCCTTCTCTGGCCTTGGGCATCCCAAACTTGGCCCATGGCCTACTCAGGCCTCAGGTGTCTGTTGACATGCCTGGACCCCTAACTTGGCCTATAGCCCACTCAGGCCTCAGGTGTCTGTTGATGTGCCTGGACCCCAAGCCTGTCCCCTCTATGGGGTTACCCACCAGGTCATGGGGGCTAAGGCTTTCTGGTGCCTCACTGTTCTCTTTCACTGGGGAGGCACAGGTGCAGCACTTCCTGGAGACCACCCTGTCACAAGCAGCCCCACCACACCATCGAACCCCATCAGGGTGCAGTTTCAGATCTTACCCAGGACCAGGAACCTCCTCCATCCCCACAGTTCCTATCCTGACCTCCAGATGTTCTGGGAGCTGCAGTCTGCAGGCTGAGTGATGTTGCTCCTCTGGCTCCCTAGGTGTAACTGCTAGCTCTGGTTCTAGGGCTGGACTTATACTGAGGCTGCCCAGCCCTCCTCCAATCCAGGGGCCCCCCTTTGGACATGTGACCATCTAATTGGGCCAAACCACACCTGCCAGCTACCCAAAGCCTGATTGAAGCCTCTTAAAGTGGCAGGCACAACCTGTGCTCTGCCACACTAGGGCCATAGTCATGGTATAGACAACTGTTATGTGGGCTTCCTCGCATAGTACTGTCAATATAACTTCACTGCTACCTGGAAAACTATTTGTCAGTTCAGCTTTACCCCAATGACTCTCTGGGCCATGCAGAGCTGTCCATGTTTCTACGCACTGCACCAATGCTAAACCCCTTTGTGGCCAAAGCTAGAATTTGAACATCTCTAGTAGCAAATGTCTGTATCCGCATATGCATATGTAGTTTGTGGCACCATAAACCTCTTTGTGGTGCCACAAACTGCACACCTTGCATGTTAAACTTTGGGCCATGCTGCTAATTTGCAGTGCAATAGCAAAATTTGTTATTGGGATTTGCTACCAGCCAAGGAGGCCTCAGTGTCCCAGTGCAGTGTGCCTCAGCACAGGGGTTCCACACATCTCTGTGTTTGTTCAGGTGTGTGCTACTTTCATGTGCCTTGCCCCACTTTTTTATGGGGGCTTTTTTCTGCTACCAGGAAAGCCCAGGGCTGCCTGTTCCCCCATCTCCATGTGCTACTACCTGGCTGGCTGGGGTGCAGGGAACCTCAGCGTGTGGGCTGCCTATTGGCTAGCCCCACACTGAGGCACTCTTTGCCCCAGCCAATCCTCCCTGCAGTACATGGACCCAGGCAGGGATCGGGAGGAGCTAGGTATGGGCAATTTGCCCAAAGCAGGAGAATTTGTCCCTCAACAAAGCACGTGTGCAGGGGTGTGCACTGCACCACAAAGTAGTGGCACAAATTTGTGCTGCCACTATTTGTGCTGCTGCAAGCACATGCCCCTGATTGTCTGAATGCAGCCAACATGTATAGTGCATATCTCATTATTTCTTGATTAGTCTTTTAGATTTATAACCTGGTTCCATAATGTATTAACAAAACAGACATGCATAAACTGTCTGGTAATAACTTATCTGAATATCCTACTGTGTATTCCTGTATTTTAGCAG